TGATAAATAAATGAATATTAATGTTATTTTAATTGTTTGATTGATTTTTATTTGCTAAAGGGGACTCAAAAAACCATTTTTTTTGAATTTCCGTTTCTGTAAAAATGACCCCATATCTTGAGGTCTGTATGAAAGCATTAAAACAATTATAATAAATTGTGAATTAATTAAAATATGAATACTAAAAATAGTTTTAAAAGTAAATTAAAACAGAATTTATGAATTATAAAGAATATCTCCTAAATTTCTAAAAAATTGTCCAAATCATCAAAACATCGCTAATAAGTCAGTGAAGTTTAGGAACAGACAAAGCCTTCAATTCGTGAATCCATTTGTCAGCGAAATGAATGATAAGATGTTTTGATTGAAACAACTTTACGGACAATAGTTTGCCACTATTGATGACCAATGACTTCAAATCAGTTATCTTACACAATATTGCTGCGAATCACGATTTCCTGCAGATGTCTGAGCCGTACGAACCCATCCAAACACTGGACATTTAAGTCACTCATTGAAGTCGTTGTGTCCAGAAATTAGAGTTTCGGGAAAATGGTGTCCACTTTCTCATAGAACCTATAGGTTTGTTGCCATAAGTCAAGTGTCATATGGGATATGGATTGTGGCCATTGCTCTAACGACTCATATAGTGACCAATAAGTGGTAACTTTAATACCCTTTGAAGTTTCGGGAACTTTGTGTCCACTTTCTCGTAGAACCTATAGGTTTGTTGCCATATGTCAAGTGTCATATGGGATATGGATTGTGGCCATTGCTCTAACGACTCATATAGTGACCAATAAGTGGTAACTTTAATACCCTTTGGCAGCGATAGCCTCAACTCCAGTCATGTCAACCGCGGGAACCACTGAATCGATTTGAAGATCTCGATATTCAAGTAGGAGACCATTGACTTGCAATTGATGGTCAACTTCTTGAGTTTCGGACATTTTAAGCCCATTTTCTTCAATCCCAGTGATAGTGAATTGTCTTTAACGATACACGAGTTGCCAAATATTAGACCAAATTCTCGAAGTTCTTGCAATTGGGTCAACGTTTGCATGCATTTAATGACACTGTATTGGGCGTCGTTGTGAATCCGATCCTTTCTAATGATCACACAATTGAGACACTTGTTATCAGCGATGAAATTGGCAAACAATTGGTGGTCGACCTCATGACAAAATCCCAAATTAATTTTCCTTAAATTCTTGACCGGAAACCAGTTTTCAATGGTTTTAATGGTAAACCAATGAATGGATATCTCAGACAAGCTCTTGAGCTGCGCAACAATCGGCACACAAACCAGTGGCAAGTGATCCAGTTTTGTGATCATTGAGCCAAATATGTTGACATAGTATTGCAGAAACTTATTGTCCACTAAATGCAAATCGCAATGAATTGTCCGCAATTGTGGCAGATATTGGCGCAACTCATCCATGGCTTCGAGCAGATGGTTAGCATTCCTCTTATTCTTGCGAATGCCTGTGAAGTCAATGGTCTGAATGTTTGAGCATTTCTTCACCACCTCTTCCATGCGATTCATGTCGAAAACCTTTTTGCCGGCGATATTGGGTTTCTTAATTTTGTTGACCAGTTTGTCATCAATGATAAGCTCCCGAAGTGTGCCATAAGAAGACCTCTGGAATTGTCTGCAAACGGATTCGTGACGGAATCGCTCCTCAAATGTCTGATACGACAGCAATAGTTGGCACATATCGTCGCCAAACCTATCGAAGGAGTCTTTGCTATAGATGTGAGACATATGTCTGGAAGTGGTTTACACTCAGCACTCAATTAAAGCGGTGTTTATTGATAGCACACAACGAAAGCTTAGAAACTATGGCTCAATGGGAGACATATTTGGGAACAATTGATGAACTGAACAGACATTTGAGAAATAATTTCTAAATAACGTTTCGACTGAAGCCATGAAACCATAGACTGTTTGTACGAATCAATAGGAATGACATAACGAGTGATCAATTGTGCCGTAAATGAGATTCGAATGGAAAGTGTCTCGAGATTTGTGTTCAAATGAAACGCTATGAATGGCTTAACAAACGATCATTTGTTTGACAATGAGATCCGAATTAATTGTAAATTCAAATAATCTCGAGATTAGTACTGAAATGAAAGTACTTTGTTTGACGTATAGGCAGCACATCTTTTGCTGGTTAAAGTTTTGGTACAAATGAATACGAGATTTGAGATATAAATACAATGTTTTTAATGAAATATTCTGTATTCTGTATAGAATTCAATAATAAAGGAAATGAACGCGAATTCACTACAAGTCATACCAACAATAGAAACACAAATATTTAAACTCTTACAACAAGTATTACCAATGTGTTTGTGAGACTGGTACCTTTAGCCGTTATAAATTGTTGCCAACAATTAACTGAATTTATACATATTTGGCTTTATTGTAGTTTATTGTCTGGTTAGGGTATGGGTTACAATTGTTTAGTATGCACGCGATATTGTATTGCTACTATTGTAATCGATTACTTAACCAAACAATTGTAACCCATACCATAACCAGACAATAAACTACAATTAAGCCAATTTTGTATAAATTCAGTTAATTGTTGGCAACAATTTATAACGGCTAAAGGTATGAGTCTCACAAACACACTGAGTCTTACACAAGAAGTTATAAATTCTCTTCGAATCAATTGATCAGAAAATGGTTGAAAGAAAGCCGGGATTCTGGAGGCTTCAGGAATCTCCACATATGGACCCAATCGTAGCATTCAGTCAGAAAACGATGCTATGGAGTGAAGAAGGACTCAAAAAATGCAAGAAATTCATTGAAATGCTTTCACAAATTAGAGAATATCTGTATTTATGATTCATTTGATAGATGTATATAAATGTGTTACTGATTCTAAAATAATATACCGGTAGTAATAAATTAGAAAAATTTGTATAGAATTTTTAAGTATCATCTTATTTTTAAATATAATTTATAATGGCTTTAGTAAAACAATACTTATATATAGGTACTTGTAGAATTGTTACATAAAAACTCTATGATAGAATATACAATATGTATAATAGTAAATCTTTTAAAAATCATTTGAATTTAGTAATACAGTACTATTATATATGTAAATATGATTCTGTTTATATAAATTCTTCATTCATGCCACCAAAATAAAACCACAACAAATTTTGTGTTTAATTATCATGATAAATTTAACATTCTTGTAGTACAATATCGCATATATGCTATTCAGAATTATTCATTAATTTAGAATTTTTGTTTTTGAAGATTCTTTTAAAATGACCCAAATTTATAAATACGATACTTATACTGAATATATAGCACACCACCCGAAATTCAAATGTAATTACTGTATAATGAATAACTTGAATTGAATTGTACACAGTATTGATACAAATATATTCTGTATTCATAATAAAATGCAACATTTATTGCCAATAAACTCATTGCAAATCCATTGCATCACTACATGAATGAATGGATGAGTGAGAGAGTGATGTAATTGATGAACGACTCAATGGTTTGCATGAAAACGACTGACAAATTGAAAACATTTGAAAATTGGACCAAATTTTGATGGATTTGTTGGAAACATGTATTTGTTTTGTAAATCATGTCTTCATAACGAAATCCAATTCATCTCCAGAAAGCATTTATTACCAAAATTGTGGACAATTTGGAGACCAAATGCATCGCCAAACAGATGTCTCACATGCCATGCCTTTCGACCCCTTCTTCTCAATAACCGGAAGAATGCCAAGAATTTGATGTTATATTCAATACATAAGAGGAATATGTTTACAGCCGTAAGACTCCTAAGAAGTGTCCTTAAGATCAGATATATTATCCTCGGATCTGACTTCTTCTCAATAACCGGAAGAATGCCAAGAATTTGATGTTATATTCAATACATAAGAGGAATATGTTTACAGCCGTAAGACTCCTAAGAAGTGTCCTTAAGATCAGATATATTATCCTCGGATCTGCTGTTGGCGGAGGAGTTCAAGCCTCGAGAGTACGATATAAGACCACTTATTGATATCTATCTCACATGCAATCACTTGTTTCCAGAAATACGAAGAATGGAAAGAAAGTCTTCCGAAGTTTAAATGGTTAGATGACTTGATGCCAAGCGGTGACCAAATGGACAGCTTTCGGTCCAATTTGATTGGTTTACGCGATCGGTTCACTTCGGAGGACGGATTTGTGGCCCAAATGAACGCAAATGCGAACCAAAAGATTGAATTATTGAAGCAATGGATAGAAGAGGCGAAACAACAACGACTACAACAACAGGAAGAGTCTTCAGGTGAGTGGCAATGGCTTTGAACCACAACTACAAGAAAGTGATGCAAAGAATGTGTTGTAATGTCTTTCAAAGGATTGCTCTTAATTTCAGGAACTGATGACAACATGACAAGTCATATAAAAACTCCATTTTTCACGTCTTCTCCTCCGGAGTCGAGCGAAGAGCCGATGAGTGGGAAGAGTGGAGAAAAGGCTCGCATTCAGCGATTGCAAGACGAACTCATTGCTGTTCAGGTCTCACACCTTCACATCACTTCACAAACACTTGTTTTCCTAATATTTGTGTTGATTTTTAGCTCAAATATCAGAAAGAAATCGAAAGATTAGAGAAAGAGAACAGAAATCTGAAGAAAACAGTTCTCTTGAGAGGAAAGAACAATAGCGTCCGTAAAGTGAAGAAGTCTTTGATAGACTTGTATTCAGAAGTTTTGGATGAGTTGAGTGAATACGACTCGAACTATAAAACTCAAGACCATTTGCCACGAGTTATAGTCGTCGGCGACCAGAGCTCTGGGAAGACAAGTGTACTCGAGATGATAGCCGGCGCCCGAATATTCCCTCGCGGGGCCGGGGAAATGATGACCCGCTCTCCCGTTAAGGTGACCCTCAAGGAGGGCCCCTATCACTTGGCCCGCTTCAAAGACAGCTCTCGAGAGTTTGATTTAAGCAAACAGTCAGAGTTAGCAGATCTTCGGCGAGAGGTTGAGATCAGAATGAAGAGTTGTGTGAAGAATGGGCGCTCAGTCAGCAGTGATGTCATCTCCATGACAGTCGAAGGGCCCGGCATTCAGCGCATGGTTTTAGTAGATTTGCCCGGAATTATAAGCACTGTTACCACAGAAATGGCTGAAGACACGCGGGATGCCATCAAAGAGATCACTAAGACTTATATGAGTAATCCAAACGCAATCATACTTTGCATTCAGGACGGCTCCGTTGATGCCGAGCGCAGTATTGTCACCGATATTGTCAGTCAAATGGATCCAAACGGCAAACGAACGATATTTGTGTTGACAAAAGTGGATTTGGCCGAACAGAACATGACTAACCCCTCAAGGCTTCAGAAAATACTGGACGGAAAGCTGTTCCCAATGAAGGCTTTGGGATACTTTGCTGTCGTCACCGGACGTGGCAATAGAGACGATACCATTCAGTCGATTAGAGAATATGAGTCTCAGTTCTTCTCCAATTCAAAGCTTTGCAAGTAATGAATGATTTAATGATTTCAAATTANTTTGGGATACTTTGCTGTCGTCACCGGACGTGGCAATAGAGACGATACCATTCAGTCGATTAGAGAATATGAGTCTCAGTTCTTCTCCAATTCAAAGCTTTGCAAGTAATGAATGATTTAATGATTTGAAATGATGTCATATTAATGTTAAATGAATTAATCATAAGGACTGGTATTTTAAACGGCTCTCAGTGCACGACTCAAAGTCTTAGTCTCGCAGTGTCTGAATGTTTCTGGAAAATGGTTAAGGCGTCCGTTGAACAACAGGCCGACGCTTTCAAAGGTTAGTTGTTGTGAGTCGAAAGCGCCGGTAATTATTGGCATATTATCTCTAATATAGCCTCGCGTTTCAATCTGGAGACCGAATGGAAGAATAGTTTTCCCCGATTGCGAGAACTCGATAGAGTAGGTCTTACCGTACTTTAGAGTCTTTTGTTGATCTAAATTCATGTCTTCTCATAAATAGGACGAACTTTTCGAGAAAGCAAAGGGAGAGATATTGGATGAAATCGTAAATTTAAGTCAATTAAGCCCTGTTTACTATTTTAAGTTTGTTTTCGAGGGAATGGAAGAATCGGGTTCTAAAGGACTCGACGATGTGATCATAGCTGAAGCCAATGGTTTCCTCAAGAATGTTGACTTTGTATGCATTACTGATAGCAATTGGTTGTCATCTGAGAAGCCGTGTCTCACATACGGCTTGAGAGGTCTCTCCTATTTCTATGCGGAGATCGAGTGCGCGGCCAAAGACCTGCATTCAGGCGTTTACGGCGGATCCGTTCACGAGGCGATGACTGATTTGGTGCTTCTTATGTCCAAATTAGTTGATAATAAGGGAAAGATTTTAGTGCCCGGGGTTATGGACGACGTGGCGCCCCTCACCACTCACGAGGAGGACCTTTACCATAAGATTGAGTTCGATTGCAATCAGTTCCGCGACGATGTGGGCATTCAAAGGCTAATCCATTGCGATAAAGTCAAGACTCTGACCCATCTCTGGAGATATCCATCCCTTTCATTGCATGGAATTGAAGGCGCGTTTGCTGGCGCGGGCGGTAAGACTGTAATCCCGCGTAAAGTTGTGGGAAAGTTCTCCATAAGACTGGTCCCCAATCAGGATCCGGAAAAAGTTGGCAAACAAGTGATCGATTACTTGAACAGTGAGTTCAAAAAGATGGACAGTCCTAACAAACTGAGAGTTGTTATGCCTAATACCGGCAAACCGTGGGTTTGCGATCCAAATGACCCTAACTTTATGGCCGCCCGTAAAGCCATGAAAACTGTGTTCGGAGTGGAGCCGGACCTGACCCGTGACGGGGGATCCATACCCGTGACGCTCACCTTCCAGGAGGCGACCGGTAAGAATGTGCTGCTGTTGCCGATGGGAGGGCCCGATGACGACCCCCACTCTCAGAACGAGAAGATCGACAAAAGGAATTACATCGAAGGCACCAAAGTCTTCGCTGCCTATGTCTATGAATTGGCGAATTTGAGCTAAACTTGGGATCCATTCGCACAGTCTTTCAAGTCTTTCAATGTGTTAAGAATTATACAATAATCAAGAAAATAGGATATTTAAGAATAGGATACTTTATAACATATTCAAATGTTTTTTATTAGGCTTACTTTATATAAGGATTAAATTATTCGTTAATAATGAGCAAAAGTTCTTCGAATTTATGAATAATTTATTGTATGGACACCAAAGTGCTAAATGGGTGGCCCTTTATCACACGTAATACTGAAATATATTTAAACTCAATTTTATATATTTTAATTGCTATTTTATATATTTGACTGAATGGTTGAATTAAATTTAAAGCAATTTATATCGTGATAACCGAAATTTTTATTTGCTAAGTGTGTATGTTTTTGAAATATTGCATAAAATTTAAAAATGATAAGGAATTGATTACTGTAATGTTATGTTATTCTTAGACTATACTTATAAATACTGTACAGTACTAACCTTATTTGGATAATTGCCAATGTAATTTATATTATATTGCGGACTTATTTATACTTTAAATTTTCACTAAACTTCAAATCTGAATTATAAAAATTTTTTGTTAAACATTAGGTGATTTGGACATTACAATTCAGTAGAATTAAATGATATAATTATTATCAAGATACTGTCCAAGTTAATTGTAAATTAACAATTTTCAATGTGTTTAACTGTTAAACTTTAACACTTTTATTACCTGTATATAGGGTTCAATTAAATTGAAGAATTACAAATTTTGTAGAATGCATTGTAGTGTACTTGTCTACCCATACCTGTCTACCTCTATAACACGGCTCTAAAATTCTAGATCACGTATTCATTTATTAATATTACCGTAATATGACATTGTACTGCATGTTACGACACTATTCGTAATAACTTTAGATCAACGAATTAAATATTCTGTATAAATATCAGCATTATTTGAATAATTGAAACCATACTCACCTTCTCTTTCAATTATAATCTTTTAATTTTAAAAAGGAGTCAATAAGTGAATGTACGGTATTCGTGGTATACTATTATAATCACAATGGCCATTCTTTACTGTTTGGTTATAAATTGATTACATAAATAAATATGTAAATACATATATTTAGAATTGTAAACATTTTGTTTATTCATATACTGATTATTAATATTATTAATTATTAAAGGTTGAATCAAATGATAACAACTCTAATAATTATTTACTAAATTTAATAAAAGCCTATTTCTCTTCATTGAGTAAAGCAATGAATTCTTCCAATTTCTCTTGTATTTGTCGAACTCGTTCTGAAATCATATCAAATACAATCAATATATCAATTAAAGTGTTTTATAAGTCAATAATTACTCAGTTCTTCGGCCAATTGGACTCTCCTTCCGGTCAAAAGACTAATCTTTTTCTCCGAGTCCTGACTGTAATCGTCTAAAACTTCTTTGATTTCTTTTTCGAGTCTTCGGCCCTCAGTGTTCATCACTTGTTGTCTCAATGCGTTTGCAGTGATTGCTATCATTCGCTGTATTCTCCAGAACAGTACGATATCATCACAACTCAACTGATTATAAGACAAACATATTTGTATAGAATTATATAAATTATTGTCACCACAAGAACTCACATCACTTTCAATGTTCTGTTGATATAAATAGAAACCTTTGCGACAATCATTGGCTCTGTTGAGAGCAGATCTCAAGAACCTCATTCGAAACAATGGAAACCAAATCTGCTTAATCTCAAAACTTTATAGTAGGTTAATATACAAATATAACCATTACTCATAACTAATTTGTCAAATATGGCAAAGCTTTAGTTGAAGTTACGGAACTAAAACATTTAAAAAGAATTGTCGTCAATTGAGTAGGCTTCCGAGAACTGGGTTTTGTCTCTGTTTTTAACAATTTATTGATTTATGTTTAAAAAAAATTCATGTTTTATAATACCTGAGTGTTGTGCTGAGCCAGCAATTTGTCCAATTCGTACTTAATATAGGAGTTGACATTTTGGTGATCGCTTTTAGACTTCCATTTGACCCATCGATCAACAAATCCGGGACCAATCAGTTCATTGAGTTGTGCCTCAGCTTTGGTCATAAATAAATCACATCAAACTCTATTCATAGCTAACAAAAAAAAGTTGTAATAATATGAATTCGCGTTAGAAAGTAACTACGATAAAAGGTTCTTAAACTACCGTCTTAGGGTAACTTAGAATAGCCCTTGGCGAGCTAGAAGGTTATGTAAGTTAACCTACTGAGCGATAATATTACAATAAAATTTTAAGAGTTAAAAATATTCTACTTATAAACAAACAGTTGGCTCAACAATAAGCATACCAACACTTCGGCAGCCTTTGACTCCCAGGTATGCCTTTTAATAGATTCCTCGGCCACTGATATCTTCAAGAAGTCGAATATATTGTCGTGACATTTGTCTGACCTATTCTTATCAATCAGACGATTGAACTCTTCCTGAAGTGTTTGGAAGCCAACGTCAACCGACTTATGGGGAAGCGTTAAGTCCGCCCATTGTTTGAGTCGGATGTCCACCTGAGTGTTGAATGTACTAAAATACCGTTCATTAGTATAAGTCATTGAATGTCATGTTTTTGATGAAAACAAACCCCGAATCGGATGTTTGTGCGGCCGGTAAGTAGATCTGTTCGAACACATAAAAGCCCACTCTTTCCCATAACTTCCTGGAGATAACCTCTTCCCTGTTATGACCACACATTAGACGCCATTTGCGCACAAACAGACAATACATACCTCATTTGTCCCGAATTAACTGAATTTAAATGCTAAAGTAGGTTATAGAGAGGGAAACGAAAGAGCTTTTCAAGCAGGATAAATACTCTTCTGTACTTAAATCTAGTTGTTTTCTGAGATTTCATGCCCAAGGCCTACTCTATCGAGTTCTCGCAATCGGGGAAAACTATTCTTCCATTCGGTCTCCAGATTGAAACGCGAGGCTATATTAGAGATAATATGCCAATAATTACCGGCGCTTTCGACTCACAACAACAAACCTTTGAAAGCGTCGGCCTGTTGTTCAACCGACGCCTTAACCATTTTCCAGAAGCATTCAGACACTGCGAGACTAAGACTTTGAGTGGTGCACTGAGAGCCGTTTAAAATACCAGTCCTTATGATTAATTGATTGAACATTAATATGACATAATTTGAAATCATTAAATCATTCATTACTTGCAAAGCTTTGAATTGGAGAAGAACTGAGACTCATATTCTCTAATCGACTGAATGGTATCGTCTCTATTGCCACGTCCGGTGACGACAGCAAAGTATCCCAAA